GATAGCAAGGGTTGTAGCATGACTGCTTTTTTCCAATTATAAGGCCAACTCTGACAACCAATACAATTTGAAGTGTATGCAAGTCATCCATTCAAACTGTTCTTCATTGTGTTCAAGACAGATAGCAAGGTTCTCACTGTTTTCTGGTACTTACTGAAAATGATGCTGGCAAAATAAATGGAAAAGGAATTTTTTGTTTACTGAAGGAGGAGGAAGGGTTTTTTACTGTCCAATTTTCTATAGTTTCCAATGGGCATACCATACTGTCTGCCCAGGACTCTAAGCCGTGACTTCAGGTGGAGGTGGATCTGAATGACAACATGGGTTAACAAGGGGAGCACTACCAAGCCATCATGCATAACTGATGTAGACACACGATTTCTAAAGAGTTAAGCTGTTGCGCCTGTTGTAGACAAATGGAAAGGATGTGACATTTCATGGAAACATGGCTGTAGGGACTGACTGTCGTCAGCTAACACATTTTGCAAGCATTAGTGCCTGGTATTGACAAGATTATATGGCACTTAAAAAGGCATTAATCAAAATGCATTAACTGGCAAGTCTTAAACAAACAAGTCTAAAACACAAACCCTCTTAGTGTATGTCCCAGTTTTCATAGAACAGAACATTCTATTTGAAGCTGAGGGAAAATTATTCTATGATGATGACTTACTATTGATGAATATGTAAAAAAAGAAATATCAAAATTTCTGTAAAAGACCATCTTTTTCTTTGGGAATAGATAGTGCCAAAATAATATCATTTTGTGGATATAGACTGCATTTTTGCTTTAAAAAGCTGGTAGCATGCAATCCTGCCTGTCATTCTTCCGCAGCCTTCCCGTGTAATGAGCAATACAAAGACACGTAATTTCAATCAGATGTTTGTTTACTGTTGAAGGGATACTGAAAACAAGTAGTTAATTGCAGAAGAAAGTAAAAGATGTGATCAATACTGTAACAAGGAAAAGGAATTGCAGATGCAGAATCTCATTAGGAAAAAGTTAAGCAGAAATCAGTTTTACTTCAATATGACAAAGGTATTCATTACAGTTGCTTGGATACTAACAATATAATAATTTGTAAACAAAAATCCAATTTAAAAAACATTCAGTACAAATAATTTGGTAATTGAACAGTGAAGAAGCATCATGAAATTTATAGGAATCCCCCTTGTCTTAGGACAAGTGTAGCCAATTCATGAACAAGATGTTATTGATCCTATATGTATGTATATTGTTCTGTAACTTTTTAGTGTTGCTTTTTTTAAAAAATTCTGACAATATGTAGAGTATATTCCCCTGTGGTTTGAATGATACTTATTATTACTCCCTGTCTACCTGCAACTTTTGGTATAATACTTCAGAGTCCCAAAGATGAGAACTTGTTCTCGTTTGTATAGAGCATCATGACAAACACCTTGGGTTTTATAGATCAAGGTATTGAACCAGCGGCTGGTGGTTTCTCTGGCCTGTTATCAGGTGGTCTCCTTCCTGGAAGGCTGCCAGCATCAAAGGATGGGCCAGATGTGTTGCTTTGACAGTGGTCTCCTCCTTGTGGTCATTTTCTTTTACAAGGGCTTTATGGTTCCTCCTTATTGTTTGATGGGCTGTCATGTGGTGAAAGAAGAGCTATGGGTCTCCCAGGAAAGCTGGCAACAAGAAACGAGGTTGCCACTGCAAGAACAAGTCATCCTGCTCCCTGTCCAGATACTCAAGAATCGCTCCAGTGGTTACAACCTCCTGCCAGTTTCTTCCTTCCCAAGAGCTCCTCATGTGCTGGTACACAGGCAGGACATGTGATTTATGGGTGTGTTGTAGATCCAATGCTTTGGGAAGAAGTCTTGACTCTGTGTGGGCAGGTGGATGTACAGTGCTTTCATTGTAGACATGGACATGATTCAGAGGTGGAATCACAGCATGTGCTTTGCTTCCAGCCCCTCTAAGCAGGTCATTCATCCACCCAGCTGGAAGACCGGGGGACTTCTGGTGAAGGGTTTCCTTTTTACATTCATTAAAATAGAAAACATGCCAAAACAATGAAGAGATCCTCACGTAAGGGAACATTAAACTTTTCAGCATTAATTAAGCACTCAGAAGATAGGATAAGACAATTAATTAATCATACATATGGAGTTCTGCTCCCCATTGGACTGGAAAAATTGTTTTCCTTTAACTTAAATTATTATACACTAATTGCTTAATATATTATAGTGTTTTGTTTATGTGTTTAGATAATTGCTTTTAGCAACAGGTGATAGAAACTAAATAGGAATTTTGCAAAGAGCCTTCTACTCATCACACTGGATATGGTGGGCAGGATGAAAAAAAATGTTGTGAAAAGGTACACAAGCTGACCTTAAATGGATGGTGACGATGTCACTGTGCTTGTAGACTGGTCACAGTGTGGCCATGTAAGAATATTTATTATTGTCTGATCCTGCTCAATATTTTCTTTGTCTTGAAGATAGGAAAAAAATTTGCTATATAAAATGGTTTGGTAAAGGCCTACTAGGGCCACAAGAATAAAACCAAAAACTGCCTTTCAACTCATATATAGCCTTTATTTAACATATTTGATTTTATTTTGAATAGATCTTCTCTGGTGGGGATCTTACTTGACATACCGTGAAAAAATAAAAATCTTGATAGATCCTGAATACCCTGGGAGAACCTTCCCATCAAATTAGCAAAGGCACATGGTGTTTCTGATGCTGTGGGAAGATCCATACAGACCAGTCCCTGAGCCTGTAGAGAGCCGTGCCGATAAGAACATAATCACGCAAATTTCACCCACAGACAATTTTTTTAAGGAATTTTAGTTTTGAGCTGTTGTCATTAAGACTTAGGAGTCATCAACATTGACATTTAAACTTGTTTGTGCTGGAGAGCTGTTTAACTCAGGAACATAAAGTTCAGTGAACCATCGCATGAAGTAATGGTTTATCTGTGTCACTAGATTTTTAAGTACAGCAGAGCAGTACCTTAAGAACTTTTGTTTTCTCTTTGTCATCCAGAATAAATGCTACAAAATATGAATGATCCTATTCATCATTGTTCTGCTACTTTACAGGATTCAGATATTTTATATTGCATCATAGCTGGTCATGATAGCAGCTGCTATGCGAGCACATGGAATCCATCTTTTTGGAGTCATCCTGATCCTGCAAAGAATTATGCATGCACGTAGCCTTATGTTGTTTATATACTGGACATGAATAGTACTATTTTCCATAAGATAAAGAAGGGTGAAGAAGCAGTAGTAGACTGCTAGACTAAAGTAAATAAGCACTTTTTAAGCGTTAAGTTCTAGATAGTATCTCATAGTACAGTCATCTTCTTAAAAAATAAAAAAGATTCCTGTAGTTGCCTGGACCGGAGTTTTTTTTAATGTACTGACTGATATTTTCCTGTGAGAATAGCCCGTTGGATAGTTGAGTTTTCATCTTATTTCATTAGGTGGTCTTTGGAACAGGACATGCTGACTTTCTGTGGTAACTGATAGTAAAAGCTGGCTATTTTGTGGTCATTGAAGGAATGCGTGGTGGTGTTACCCCTCTTTGCAGACTGTTGACATCAGTGGTTTTTTCTTCAGCTTAAACACCCTTTGATGAAGGGCTTGGCATGGAACCAGCGGAGCTCTGCGTGTGGAAGTAGCTCAGCAGGGCACATTTCTACTTCAGCAATTCACTTTTTGGGGAATGTGCCTGTGGTCACACAGGGAATGTGTTTCCCTCACAGATACTGAGGGTGCTCTGCCCCGGGGGCAGCCAGAGAGGTTGTGGTTTGGGTAACCTTGCCTTACTGTGGGATTGTGTGACATGGCTCTAACTTATTTGTAAATGAGACCAAATGCCAGATGGATCAGATAAATTAATTATTTCTATTAAATTGTGTTGTATTTATTGCAGAGTCACAAAAAAGAGGAGTTGTTTCTTTTTAAACTATCAGAACCTTGTCACAAAAAGCTTCAAATTACTTCGATTTTTTTTTCTTTTTTTTTTTAATTAAGCACTGAGTAACCTGTTTAATACTGTCTCATTCATCAAGTGAGTTCTTCAGGAAAAGGCATCCTGTCAGGTGCAGCAGGCAAAACCATGAGCAGCATCGGTACTCTTAATGACTCTCAGAATGACTGAAAGGATTGTAAAATGACGCGTCATTATCTAGCAGACATTGATCATAATTATATAACTGAAAAAGACAAAACATATCAAATATTGTGTTTTAAATGTGCCTTTCAATGAAAAAAAAAAGCCATTGAAATAATTTTTGTGGTAGCTGTGTGATCCTTCTGAATGCAAAATTGAAAAGTTTTGCATATCCTCAGGATGAAAGGAGTTATCACTCTAAGCTCTTCACTTATTAATTTTAATTTAATACTCATGGTATATCAAACATTATAGATCTTTCACAATTTTGCCTTATGACACTGCAGAAGTCTGATAACTATGCTCCATGTAAAATGTAATTCCCTGTTTTACCTGCCGGCTTGGATTGAACTGTGGGATCTTAATTTGCTGTTGTGGTTTCCATGATCCTTTCCTCATGTCGTGTTGTTATTGCAATGAACACACTGCACATACAGCATCGCCTTCATCTTCATAAGGCAGAGTACAGACTCTTTCATCCTTGAAAAATGAATAATTAAACTAAGATTTTAATATTTGCGTTTGCTTTTGGGTTTATTAGCTCTGTGAAAACTAGATAAATTATTTTGTGTGTTCCATCTGACTAGCTCTTGAAAAATGGACCAGAGTTTTCCATATATCTCTTCTGTGGCTTTAAACGATCTCAAAATAGCACTGTTGTGAAAATGGGTGGTACTCTTCCAAATGGATAGGTGGCGTTTTTATCATTGCCATCTTGAGGTTTGCATAAGGACCACAAGTGTGATGCAAAACTAGGGGAACTTATTGTCACTCTTAAGGTCCTGTGGTGTGATGTAATTCTTCTGTTGTACCTGCCTCACTTGAATTTGTTTTTTTTTGTGTTTCTGCAGACTCCAGAGGAAGGAGCCTCTACAAGCATCTATGCAGCAGTATCGCCTGAGATGGAAGGAGCTGGTGGCTGCTACCTTTACAATGAGACAAGGACAAAATCGGCTGACGTAGCATATGATGAGGAGCTGCAGAGAAGGCTCTGGACAGAAAGCTGCAAGATGGTTGGGATTTCTGATGAATCCAGCAGAGTTCCCTAGAAGAAGCCACTTCCAGATGGGTAAATGAAATGTATTGACAAGCATCTTAGGTGAATTCTTGCAGCATCAGTCATCATCCTGGAAATCACTGTTAAGTCCCAAAGGCAAACATGAACAGCTCTGTTCTTCACTTGAACCCCTAATCTGCTAGGGTGTGGGGGGAGTATTCCCACAGAAAGATGTAGTGGTTGGTTTTAAACCATCAGTTTTGTAAATCATGATGTTTCAGTCTGTGATTAAAATACAATCTTTAACCTTGTGCAGAGTTGAGTTTTCATTTTTTTTGTTAAAAAAAAATAAATAAAAGACTTTCCCTGTTGAGCATGTTGCGTCTGTGGCATGCTGAACTTAAGCCACCTTTGTGCATATAGCATACTTTTTTAAATCAGTTTTGAAAGTTGCAGCTTTTTTCCTGAAGCTTCATTAATCTTTAGGACACTTCATAATGAATGTCAGTTTGTTCTAATGCAGACATTTGGCATTCATGATCATTATGTTGTTTCTATCATAACATTGGTTTTATATGTCAGGTTTTATCCAGAGGTTTTAACTGAAGGTCAGAACAAAAAAAAAATTGTAAATAAATAAGGTCGTCAGACAGGATATTGAATTCAGTTGTTTTCGGTTCAAGTTCAGCTCTCCTTTAAAGAAGATCCATAAGAACAAGGAAGGGATCAAACATAATAATTGAGACACTGGATTTGGCAGAGGGTGCAGTTGGCCTGTTATCTCCGCACTGGGCTAAGATTACTTGTCTCCTTTTCTCTGAACCCATGTAAACTTAACGTTCACAACTTCTTGCATTTTCTTTGGCAAGGAGATTCGCTCATCTACTGCCTGTTGCATGACAAATCACCTCCTTTGGTTCATTTTGAACCTGGTTCATATGAGTTTCTAAGCTATAATTCATGGTTTGAAAGAGACAGTAAACAATTAATGTCTGTCCATTTTTTCCATATTGTTAAGGGTTTTGGAGACTTCCAACATGTCCCCCTTTAACTGTCTCTTTGTCATGTCGAAGAGTAGCCCCTGCCTGCTCATCTGACACAGCAGCAACAGAATATTTTCCCTTTGGTTATGTATGTCTTTCCTAAAACTCCCTAATAGCTGTTTTATTTCTAATTTTATTTGGCTGTTTCTGAAGGTAGAGCTGAGATTTTTTATGAACCTATCATTAGTGAATCCTAAGATTTCTCTTCCGAGATAGTAGTCAGTTCAGATACCATCAGTTTTGAACACACTTCAGTGTGTACGGTTCAGGGGACTCCACCTATCCCTGCCAAAGTGAAGCTTCAAGAATGACGTTCACATCCATGAAGTAAAGAGCAAAACAGAGCAAAACATGGCAATATAAGGGCAGTCTGAGTTTCTACAAGCTTAAGTAACTAAAAGAAAAAAACTGGATTGAAGATAGATACAATATATTAACGAGGAAGGTCATAAACCATCAGAACAATTTACAGAGAAAGTTCCGCTGGAAGCTTCAGTCCGGATTAGAAGTCTCCCCTAAACATCTCTCCTCAGTGAAAGAAACTCTCCAAGTGTGGACTCTGTGATGACGGAGCCTGAACTCTTGCTGTTAATGGAGTAAGCTCTACCCTACTCCCATCTCACTCGTTTTAGCTGTCTGAAAAAGTAGCATAATCCTAAGAATGTCCTTGCATTTCCTTTTTTACAGTATACACAGCAAAAGAGACCAATAGGCAGCTGTAAATAAATCAGTCACTTTGGGGCACTGGAAATCATTGAATGACAGAACTAAGTGCAAACACAGTGTTGTGCTCTCATTTGCAGCAGACTAGAAAAAATATGGATGTGTTTCTATGCACTGAACCCCAGACTAATGTCCCTTTGGGGCTTTTTAGCACAAACCTTGTACTTCACTGACCATATCTCCAGCCTTTGGTTCGGAGAAAGATCACGTCTTACTGAAAGACAGCATACTAATATGTCCAGAGACTAGCAAGGAGATGCAAAGACCAAAAAAAATAAAATAGTACAAAAAAAAAGAAAAGCAGACGAGAACAAAAATAATAAAGAGTCTGAAGGAAAGCATATTTCCCCTATGAATTAAGCCATGCATGATTTATTCCTAGCTTCTTAGAATTAGTATATACAAGGGTTAGCAGCAGGAAATTTATCACTCAGTCACTATAGCACTTTCTCTGTGTTACTGGCTGACTTTTTTTTTTTTTTTTTTTTTGGGTTAACTAGAGTGTAAAAACACTAACATTAAGACCCCAAGGGAAGGCCAAGGGAATTGACTAGCAAGGCAGAGCTGACAAAAATATATATACTGAGGCTGGATCTCTTT